AGGGCATTGGAGTGGGGGACGCATTGCTTCAGGCGCGGCCGGGCCGACCAGGCATGGGCTCCCCTTGCCGTCCCCTGCCTACCCAGGGCCCGCGCGCAGTTCGTGTCTCTCGCACACAGGCACTCCGCACCGGGGGGCCAGCAGCGCTGTTCTTCGAAGGGGGTTGGAGATCTGTGGCCGCGTTCGGGCACTCCATTCCGACAGGGGGCACGGCCGCGCTGCCTGGGTCGCGAGGGCGCGGCGCTTGGCGGCGCACAGGTACCCGGCCGCAAAGACGCGGGCCATGGTGCTGGCGGCAGAAGCCGAGATCGCGCACTCCGATTCCGACGAGGCGCCGCCTTGCAGGCATCGGGGTCGGGGCTCCGCGGCGGCGCGTGGCGCGCAGGACGCGCCGATCGCCGCGGAAGCGGTGCAGGGGCCGCCCAGGCCGTGAGTCAAGCAGACCAGGCATCTGCGGTCTGCTTAGAGCGCGCTTGGGCGTCGTTCCGCCGAGCATGCATCGGGAGGCCGGCGAGGTTGCTCGGCTCCACGACGCCGATTCGCGCTCACCCCACCGCCTGGCCTGGGCCTGCGCCAGTCGACGGTTGTGCCCTGCGTTAGCGCGGGCCCAGCCTCGACGCGACTTCTCATGGGCGCTCTGGGCAGCATTTGAGCGCGGGGAGAAGTCGCTCGAGCGTCGTGGCCCCTATTGGCTATCTTCTCGCTTGTCTCTAATGCTGCGGGACGGCTATTCACGGCTGAGGCGGATCCCCACCCTGCGCGCCCGCGAGCGCGTTCTCGTCGCAGGTGAATGGGATTTGTCTCACGCGTGGCCGTCCCGCTGGCGGGATGCGTTTTTCCCCACCCGCCCGACCCTGCTGCGCGAGCGCACTGGCGTCGCAGTGGCTGCTAGTTGTGTCGAGGCTGGGCTGACCCAGCGCCAGGCTTGGGGGAGGCGTCGGCGAGGTTGCTCGGCTCCGCGACGCCGACTCGCGCTCACCCCACCGCCTGGCCTGGGCCTGCGCCAGTCGACGGTTGTGCCCTGCGTTAGCGCGGGCCCAGCCTCGACGCGACTTCTCACGATACACGTGCACACATGCGGGTGCGCATGGCCGCACATATCTGCTTGCGCAAGCGGTTCGAAAACACGCTAAGAGTTCGGAGGCCCCATGGGCACCACGAGTGCATCAACGTTGCATTTGCGAGGCCCGGAGAGGCTCCAGGAAACCACCCCCGCGAGGCTCCAGGAGATTCCAGGAGGCCACCCCGCGATGTCCCAGTAAGCGGCAGGAGGCCCCCCCAGAAATGGCACAAGAAACTCCACGAACCGTACACCCCGCGAGGCCCCTGAAAGCTGCGAGATGGAGGTCGCCAGCTGCTCCAAGGTCTTTTGGTCAAGGCGCAGCAAAACATGTTCTCGCGAACAAATGTTCTGTTGCGCGCTTTCGCTGCCTTCCTCTTGGAGGGGGGGTTGAAGTGAAGGGCGGGCGCGCTCGAGGAGGAGGAGGAAATGATGACGAGGAGGAGGAGGAGGAGAATGAAGACAAAGAGAAATAGTACTACGAATGTCAAGAGGAAGACGAATGATGATAATCTTAATGATGGTATCAGCAATATAAGTAGTGGCAATCGTTGAACTAATAATGCTACGACGATTGCAAATTCTAACATGAATAGTAGTAAAACGATTCGTAGTAATGGTAATAGTGCGGATGCAAGAGCTAAATCATGAGGTCTGGGCGCCGCCGTGAAGCAGTGTCGGGACTTGTTTGTTTTTCGACCCTGACCCCACAGATCTGCGTGAGGGGTGCCGCCGAATGTTAGAAATGTGGCAAATCCCGTGTGTTTTTGGACCCTGACCCTATTGATCTGCGTGAGGGATGCGCCGAATGTTAGAAATGTGGCAAATCCCATGTGTTTTTGGACCCTGACCCTGCTGATTAGCGTGAGGGGTGCCGCCGAATTGTGGAAATGTGGCAAATCCTTTGTGTGTTGGGACCCTGACCCTGCCGATCTGAGGGAGGAGTGCCCCCGAATTTCAGAAATGTGGCAAATCCCTTGTGTTTTGGGACCCTGACCCCGCCGATCTGCGTGAGGGGTGCCAGCGAACTTGTGAAATGTAGCGTGGCCTTGCCGATCTGCGTGAGGGGTGCCACCGAATGTCAGAAATGTTGCAGATGCTTTGTGCTTTTTGACCCTGACCCCGCCGATCTGCGTGAGGGGTGCTAGCAAATTTCAGAAATGTGGCAAATCCTTTGTGTTTTTTGACCCTGACCCCGCCGATCTGCGTGAGGGGTGCCACCGAATTTCAGACATGTGGCAAATCCCATGTGTTTTTGGACCCTGACCCCGCCGATCTGCGTGAGGGGTGTCAATTTTAACCCACCCCAGCAATTCAGAGCACACGCTCAGGGCGTGGCAAAAATGCTGGATTTGGGCCTCCCACCCTCGCGCGGTCCACCAACAAGGAACAGTAAGCAGCAAGAAGCAGAACTGTATCGGTGGAAACTGGAAGCTGCAACTGGCACAGGAAACTGCGAACCTTCGCCCTACAGCCTGGTGGCCCCACAAGGGGGCCGGCAAATTCGTAGTATTAGTCGTAGTCGTAGTCGTAGTCGTAGTCGTAGTCGTAGTCGTAGTCGTAGTCGTAGTCGTAGTCGTAGTAGTAGTAGTAGTAGTAGTAGTAGTAGTAGTAGTGGTGGTGGTGGTGGTGGTGGTGGTGGTGGTGGTGGTGGTGGTGGTAGTAGTAGTAGTAGTAGCAGTAGCAGTAGCAGTAGCAGTAGCAGTAGCAGTAGCAGTACTACTACTACTACTACTACTACTACTACTATTACTACTACTACTACTACTACTACTGCTACTACTACCAATACTAGTACTAAGTCGAGTAATCATAATAGTATCAATCGGAGGTTGGGGGGTGAGATCAAAGTGGAACGGAGAGCCCCCCACCGGGAAATCGGTTTCGGTTTCGTGTTTGTGCGTGCCGTGCTTGCGGGCGAGGCGAAGCTGTGTGGGCCGGCGAGAGGAAAGTCTCCTGTGGCTGAGGCGAGGCCGGACCAAATGTTTCCCCCCTGGCAAACGGGGCCGCGCGGTGTCCCGCCAGTGTCCCGCCAGTGTCCCGCTGCTCCTGTGGCTGAGGCGCGGCCGGACCAAATGTTTCCCGACTGGCAAACGGGGCCGCGCGGTGTCCCGCCGGTGTCCCGCTGGTGTCCCCGTGTCCCGGTGGTGCGAAAACGATAGTGAGACCGATATTCAGATCGATTGTGAGATCGATTGTGAAATCGATAGTGGGATCGATAGTGAGATCGATCGAGTGAGATCGATAGGGAGATGGATAGTGAGATCGACAGTGAGAGCGATAGTGGGATCTATGTTGAGATCGATTGAGTAAGATCGATAATGAGATCGATTGAGTGAGATCGATAGGGAGATGGATAGTGAGATCGACAGTGAGATCGATGGAGTGATATCGATAGTGAGATTGATAGTGAGATCGATGGAGTGATATCGATAGTGAGATCGATAGTGGAATCGAAAACGAGATCGAGAGTGAGATCGACAGTGAAATCGATCGAGTGAGACCGATAGTGAGATCGATCGAGTGAGATCGATAGTAAGGTCGATAGTGAGGTCGATCGTGGCTTCGATATTGAGACCGATAGTGAGATGCAAATCGAAATGCAGATCGAAATGCAAATCGAAAAGCAAATCGACATGCACATCGATAAGCAAATGCAAATGCAAATCGTCAGGCACATCGACATCCCGTGCTGTATACTGTGCCAAGAGCGAGCGGCAACGCAACAATCTCTGAACACTAAGGCTCCCAGTGCGAACGTTGGCGGAACATGCTCTTAATGGTCGCTCCAAGAAGCTCACGGGAGGCCCCAAGAGACCCCCAAGAAGCCCCAAGAGGCTCCCAAGAGGCCCCCAGAGACCCCCCAAGAGGCCCCCAAGAGCCCCCCAAAGGGGTCCAAAAGACGAGCCCAAACGGCCCCCCAAGCCCTTGCAAAATGAACGAAATACTTGACTATTTCATCAGTTCTCGGGGGGGGGGGACTGGTGCCAAGGCGCCCAAGAGCGAAGGGTGACGTAAACAACTGGACACCAAGGCTCTCAAGAGCGAGCGGCAACGCAACACTCTCCACTGGCATCGTCAGAACAACAATCACCACTGTTGCCCATTGCTGGCCCCATCCCCTCCCCCAGCCTCCTTATCACCCGCAGGGTGGTCGTATAGGTAACATTATAATATGAGGAGGAGGAGGAGGAGGAGGAGGAGGATGAGGAGGAGGAGGAGGAGGAGGAGGAGGAGGAGGAGGAGGACCAGGAAACACAGCACCAGGAAACCGCTGGGGCCAGGAGGCTGCAAGACGACCCAGATGCCTCAGGAGGCCACGTGAGCTCCCAGGATGCTTCAGGAGCCCCCTCCCCCGCGATGCCCCAGGATATCCAGGAGCCCCAGGAGGTCCCAGGAGGCCCCAGAAGGCCACAGGGGGCGCCAGAAGGTCCCAGGAGCCCGCAAGGAGGCTCCAGATGGGGCTCCGGGATGCTCCAGGAGGCTCCTCAGAGGGCCCAGGAAGCCCTAGGAGATCCCAGAAGGCCCCAAACAGGCACCAGAAAGCCCCAGGAGGCCCCAGGAAACACCAGGAGGCCCCCCAGGAGGTCACAGGAGACCCCAGGAGGTCTCGGGAGGCACTGGGAGGCTCCAGGAGGCCCCAGAGGGCCACAGGAGGTCCCAGGAGGCCGCAGGAGGTCCTATGAGGATGCAGGAGATCCCAGGAAGCCCGAGGCCCCAGGAGGTCCCAGGATGCTCTGGGAGGAAGGCCTGGAGGCTCCAGGAGGCCACCAGATGGTACCCCCTCCTGGTCGATCCGACGGGAGGGAGGGAGGGACGGAGGGAGGGAGGCAGGGAGGGAGGGAGGGAGGAGGAGGTAGAGGAGGAAGAGGATCGAGGATGATCGAGGAGGAGGAGGATCGAGGAGGAGCTGCCCCGCCCGGTTTCTCCGTGTCCGAAG